TCCCAAGATAGCGGAGGACATCAAGCACTGGCCCTTCAAGGTGGTCAGCGACGGAGGCAAGCCCAAGATTGGCGTCGAGTTCAAGGGGGAGCAGAAGCGTTTTGCGCCCGAGGAGATCAGCTCGATGGTGCTGGTGAAGATGAAGGAGACGGCGGAGGCGTACCTGGGCCAGAGCATCACGGACGCGGTCATCACAGTGCCCGCCTATTTCAACGACTCGCAGCGCCAGGCTACCAAAGATGCCGGCCACATAGCCGGCCTGAACGTGCTGAGGATCATCAACGAGCCGACGGCGGCGGCACTGGCCTATGGCCTGGACAAGAATCTGAAGGGCGAACGCAATGTGCTCATCTTCGATCTGGGCGGCGGCACCTTTGATGTCTCCATTCTAACCATCGACGAGGGCTCACTGTTCGAGGTGCGGTCAACGGCTGGAGACACACATTTGGGCGGCGAGGACTTTGACAACAGACTGGTAACCCATCTGGCGGAGGAGTTCAAGCGCAAGTACAAGAAGGATCTGCGCTCCAATCCTCGCGCCCTGCGCCGCCTGCGCACTGCGGCGGAGCGAGCCAAGCGCACGCTCTCGTCGAGCACAGAGGCTACCATTGAGGTGGACGCGCTGTTCGAGGGCCACGACTTCTACACGAAGGTGAGCCGTGCCCGGTTCGAGGAGCTGTGCGCCGATCTGTTCCGCAACACACTGGCGCCAGTGGAGAAGGCGCTCAACGATGCCAAGATGGACAAGCAGCAGATCCACGATATTGTGCTCGTCGGTGGCTCGACACGCATTCCCAAGGTGCAGAGCCTGCTTCAGCAGTTCTTCGGCGGCAAGAGCCTCAACCTTTCCATCAATCCCGACGAGGCGGTGGCCTATGGCGCCGCAGTCCAAGCAGCCATACTTAGCGGCGACCAGAGCGGCAAGATCCAGGACGTGCTCCTGGTGGACGTTGCGCCCCTTTCATTGGGCATCGAGACTGCCGGCGGCGTCATGACCAAGCTGATTGAACGAAACTCCCGAATCCCGTGCAAGCAGACGAAGACCTTCTCAACGTACTCTGACAACCAGCCGGGCGTCTCCATTCAGGTGTACGAGGGCGAGCGCGCCCTCACGCAGCACAACAATTCGCTGGGCACGTTCGATTTGTCAGGCATACCGCCGGCACCGCGCGGCGTGCCCCAGATCGAGGTCACCTTCGACATGGACGCCAATGGTATCCTGAACGTGACGGCCAAGGAGATGAGCACCGGCAAGGCCAAGAACATTACCATCAAGAACGACAAGGGCCGCCTCTCGCAGGCAGAGATCGACCGCATGGTGAACGAGGCCGAGCGCTACGCGGACGAGGATGAGAAGCACCGGGAGCGCATCACGGCTCGCAACAGCCTCGAGAGCTACGTCTTCGGCGTCAAGCAGGCCGTGGAGCAGGCCAGTCCCGACAAGCTGAGCGACAGCGACAAGTCGTCCGTGCTGGAGAAGTGCAGCGAGACCGTCAAGTGGCTCGACGCCAACACCACAGCCGACAAGGAGGAGTTCGAGTACAAACTGAAGGAGCTCACTCAGCACTGCTCCCCCATTATGACCAAGATGCACCAGCAGGGACAGCCGCAGGGCAACGCCAACTGTGGCCAGCAGGCGGGCGGCTTCGGTGGTGCCGGTGGCTACCAAGGACCCACCGTGGAGGAAGTTTTACGAGCTTGTCCTTTTAAATATCTGCAAAACCGTAAGGCAAATGTCTACAAGGGTATTAAATCTTCGGCGCGCCGAAAATATTCTTTCTTTCTCGGTTTCTTCCAATTGTAGAAATAATTTAATCCACACATTCTATTTACATATAAATAATAAATAATATAAATATTTAATATTTTTATTATTAAATCAAAGTTTTTCATCTATTAAGATAAGAAAATAAGAAGTTTGATGATAAACAAGGAGCTTCTCACAACCGTATCGCTAAGTTTACCCCTTGTGGGTGGAATTCCCGAAAACCCCATCTAGCTAGAGTGAAAATGTTAGCTTCCTAGCCCTCACGTGCTGCACGCTAATCCCTGATCATTCAATCAGAACATGTTTTCAATATATGTAGAGATGTAAATACAGAGATGACATAGCAAAAAGAAGAGAGCTCATTTTGGTTTATTTGCTATAGTGTATTTTTTTATTATTTACAGTTCGTTAAAGCAGCAACAATCTATAAATGACAACTAGATTAGCATTCACGTGCATAGAACGAGTTTTTCAATTCACACATACATTGTATGTATGTATTTATATTGGGTTCCAAAAATAGGCAATCAAGTCAGCATTCGCATATAAATAAAATACATTTATTAATAGCAAATCGTTAAGTATAACAAAACTATTTATTTTGCCAACAATCTCTAAGTTCGTGTGAATTTTCTAGAATCGAAAAAAGATAAATACCAATTGTTGCTGTAGGTCAAGTCGAACACACACAGCCGTTACTCTCAGTCCCTCTCGCTCTTTCTTCAAAACAATAACAAACCCAACCTACTAGAAAAATCGAAACATATTCGTGGTACAAGCTGTTCCGTCTCCCTCTCGCTCATAAGCAAACGCATCGAATGTACGCGTCGTTCGACGCGTTTCGAGAAGAGAGCGTCGAGAAATTTCGAAAAGAGAGCGCCGGGGTATAAATACGGCTGAAATTTTCTCTTCGCCACAATTGAATTCAAGCAAGCGACGTGATAACATCACAAACCAAAACAAGCGACTAGCTGAACAAGCTAAAAATACAAACTAAAGAGTTTTAAAGACTTTCAACAACAGTTTAAATAAAATCCAAGTGAAAAGTAAAGTTTTAACAAATTAAGAAGGAGCAACAGCAAGAAAGAGATTTCCACAACAACAACAACAAATAGAAGCGATTCATCTCGAGCGAAGAATCAGAGAACACACAGAATGCCAGCCATTGGTATTGATTTGGGCACCACGTACTCGTGCGTGGGTGTCTACCAGCATGGCAAGGTGGAGATAATTGCCAATGACCAGGGCAATAGGACGACGCCCAGCTATGTGGCTTTCACAGATTCGGAGCGCCTCATTGGCGACGCGGCCAAGAACCAGGTGGCGATGAACCCCAAGAACACAGTATTCGATGCGAAGCGTCTAATTGGACGCAGGTACGATGATCCCAAGATAGCGGAGGACATCAAGCACTGGCCCTTCAAGGTGGTCAGCGACGGAGGCAAGCCCAAGATTGGCGTCGAGTTCAAGGGGGAGCAGAAGCGTTTTGCGCCCGAGGAGATCAGCTCGATGGTGCTGGTGAAGATGAAGGAGACGGCGGAGGCGTACCTGGGCCAGAGCATCACGGACGCGGTCATCACAGTGCCCGCCTATTTCAACGACTCGCAGCGCCAGGCTACCAAAGATGCCGGCCACATAGCCGGCCTGAACGTGCTGAGGATCATCAACGAGCCGACGGCGGCGGCACTGGCCTATGGCCTGGACAAGAATCTGAAGGGCGAACGCAATGTGCTCATCTTCGATCTGGGCGGCGGCACCTTTGATGTCTCCATTCTAACCATCGACGAGGGCTCACTGTTCGAGGTGCGGTCAACGGCTGGAGACACACATTTGGGCGGCGAGGACTTTGACAACAGACTGGTAACCCATCTGGCGGAGGAGTTCAAGCGCAAGTACAAGAAGGATCTGCGCTCCAATCCTCGCGCCCTGCGCCGCCTGCGCACTGCGGCGGAGCGAGCCAAGCGCACGCTTTCGTCGAGCACAGAGGCTACCATTGAGGTGGACGCGCTGTTCGAGGGCCACGACTTCTACACGAAGGTGAGCCGTGCCCGGTTCGAGGAGCTGTGCGCCGATCTGTTCCGCAACACACTGGCGCCAGTGGAGAAGGCGCTCAACGATGCCAAGATGGACAAGCAGCAGATCCACGATATTGTGCTCGTCGGTGGCTCGACACGCATTCCCAAGGTGCAGAGCCTGCTTCAGCAGTTCTTCGGCGGCAAGAGCCTCAACCTTTCCATCAATCCCGACGAGGCGGTGGCCTATGGCGCCGCAGTCCAAGCAGCCATACTTAGCGGCGACCAGAGCGGCAAGATCCAGGATGTGCTCCTGGTGGACGTTGCGCCCCTTTCATTGGGCATCGAGACTGCCGGCGGCGTCATGACCAAGCTGATTGAACGAAACTCCCGAATCCCGTGCAAGCAGACGAAGACCTTCTCAACGTACTCTGACAACCAGCCGGGCGTCTCCATTCAGGTGTACGAGGGCGAGCGCGCCCTCACGCAGCACAACAATTCGCTGGGCACGTTCGATTTGTCTGGCATACCGCCGGCACCGCGCGGCGTGCCCCAGATCGAGGTCACCTTCGACATGGACGCCAATGGTATCCTGAACGTGACGGCCAAGGAGATGAGCACCGGCAAGGCCAAGAACATTACCATCAAGAACGACAAGGGCCGCCTCTCGCAGGCAGAGATCGACCGCATGGTGAACGAGGCCGAGCGCTACGCGGACGAGGATGAGAAGCACCGGGAGCGCATCACGGCTCGCAACAGCCTCGAGAGCTACGTTTTCGGCGTCAAGCAGGCCGTGGAGCAGGCCAGTCCCGACAAGCTGAGCGACAGCGACAAGTCGTCCGTGCTGGAGAAGTGCAGCGAGACCGTCAAGTGGCTCGACGCCAACACCACAGCCGACAAGGAGGAGTTCGAGTACAAACTGAAGGAGCTCACTCAGCACTGCTCCCCCATTATGACCAAGATGCACCAGCAGGGACAGCCGCAGGGCAACGCCAACTGTGGCCAGCAGGCGGGCGGCTTCGGTGGTGCCGGTGGCTACCAAGGACCCACCGTGGAGGAAGTCGACTAATTGCATTCCCCCATACTTCTAGTATTTAGTTTTAACTTTATGTTCCTCGGACTGATTAAGATTTTTGGTTGAGATATAGCCATTAATTTTATGCCGAACACTCACTAGTTAAGAGAGCTAATTGTTAAACTATTCCTAAGTTAGCAACAAATTATAGAATAAACCATTAATTTATTATTTCAAAAAGAAACTTAATTGTTTTTGAATCGTCCTTGCTATATAATTTGTGGGGATGTTTTCTTTTGTATAATAGATCGAATTTAAAAGCGAGTGAAAAGCTTGAACCGGAAAGTTCATCCACATGAAAATGACTGGAATCTTGGGCGTAGCCAAGTAGGAAATACCCTGAGCCGGGTGCCTAGCTGCTTTTACAAACAGTCTAGCTCGTTCTATAAGTAGAAGTTTCTAGTTTTTAAAATCAATTGGGGATGTATCTAAAAAGTGAAGTATTATAATTAGTGACGAGATATCGACAAAGATAAACTTCCGTTACGTACGGCACCGAAGAAAATATATCTAAAATATAAGTTTTCTAGCTATTGTATTTTCTGGGACCAACGAGTTCGGAGAGGCATGGCTAGACCGACTCAGCTCGTCGTCCTGGTCAAGTATGTACCTTTTCCATTTTCGATGGGTTCGACCGCTTTCTAGAAACTTCTTGCTTTGAGTTGCCATGGCGACATTCTATTTGATGTTCGATTCACAATGATTTTAAATTAAATAAAGCCCGCGCGCTGCTTTTTAGAAACAATCGATAACAAACGCCAACAAGTTGGCAACGCCAACTGCGTTAATATTTAGTTGTGCCGGCCGGCATAAAATTGAAATCAATTCTGCCTTGCTTTCCTTACAGTCCGTATTAAGAGCTGTGGATTTTAACAAAAGTAAATTCAGCGCAGCGAGAGCAACGTTTTTAAATTTACATTACGAAAAAAAAGTTATACTAGCTTTTTCACAGCCGATATCAGTGTATATGTCAGTGTGTGTGTGCCTATCGATAAAACGGTGCCTCAACGCTGCTACGAAGAAGGTACAGATAGTGAGTAGCAAAAAGACGCCGTAGCCGATTTTCATTTTCGGAGGGATTTGCTAAGCGTGCCTGCCATTTGCAAAAAGTAATTAAATGTGTGAAAAAAATGCAGAATTTATGCAAATTGTGAACAAACCAAAATACACGTGCTAAGAAACGTTTAATCCGCAGTAATAAACATATTTTGTATCCCGAAATAATTTTTTTTTATTTGTATTTTGACGCAGCGCAAATCGCAAGTTGAGCACACAAAAATAAGAAGGCAACCGCAAAAGGGAACACCGAAACGGCGAAAACGAAGTACGCACAAATTATTTGAAGCAAGAATTCTGTGTGCATCCAGATCTGAAGCCGACGACGCAGCTTTCGGAAAAAGCGCGCGCATAAAAAAAGAAACGAAAAATGGAGGATATTGCGGTGGCTAAAAAGCGCGGACGCCCGCCAAAGTTGTCGACGGGGGCTGCGGCTCCGGCGCCGGGCAGTCCCGGCGATAGCAACATTCCAACAATACCCAAAAAGCGCGGTCGTCCGCCCAAGGTCAAGGGTAGTGGGCGTGGCAGGCCGCCAAAGATCGCAGCCGCTGCGCAAAACAGCGATAACGAGGATCTCGACCAGGATGAGCTGGGCGAGGCCAATGGCGATCTGGCATTGCCGCCACTAAAGGTCAAGGGACGCGGTCGTCCACGTAAAAGTGGTGCACCGGTACAGGTGCAGGAGAACAGCGGTAACGATGACGACGATATGGATTCTTCGGCCGATGAGAAGCCGCCAGTGAAGCACCAAAAGTCGCCCTCTTCGGCCTCCAAGCGCCGCAAGCTGGGACGACCCCAAAAGCATAAGCCCAGTGAAGATGAAGATGGTCAGTTTGGCTAGTAGAGTTTGCACTGGGTGTGATGAACTGCAAATTTCTATATATAAAAATTCCCTTTGTACTCTCACACAGAATACGATGATGACGATGAGGAGCCACGTCCAGTGGGTCGTCCACCCACTGGGGCCGTCAACTTGAACATTGTGCGCACTGGACGCGGTCCTGGACGCCCCAAGAAGAATGCATCGGCTGCAAGTGGAAAGCGTTCTGCGTCAGCCGCTGCCGCAGAATCGAATAGCGATGAAGCACCTACTGTGCCCAAGAAACGTGGACGTCCACCACTGTCGAATAGGCCAGCCGCGTATGTGCCATCTGGACGCCCACGTGGACGCCCTAAAGCCCAAGCCGCAAGCGTCAAGGCCGCTGCCGATGACGATGATGACCAGTCACAACAGCCGGACGATGATTCCGATGAAGATGAGGTGGAATCTGTTGAGGCCGAGGAATCTACGGCAGTGGCTGCAGCTACGACCACGCCAAAAAAACGCGGACGACCCTCATCGGGCAAACCGCGCGGTCGGCCCAAGTTTCAGAAATCGCCCAACAATCAGGCGGATGACGATGACGACGATCAGGATTCGGCTGGCGAATTGGCTGGCGACGAGTCCAATGGGAATGTGCCCAAGAAGCGTGGACGACCTTCATTGGGCAAACGCGGACGCCCAAAGTCGGCCAAATCTTCGGATTTGAATGGCGGCGACAGTCTAAGTGGCGATGCTGACGACGACATTGACGGAGCTGATGACAACGGCGGCGATGATGAATCCGATGAGCCAGCAAAGCAGACGAGCATCAAGGAATCTAAATCTGAGCGCAAGGAATCAGATTCGCCAGAGAATGGCGATGGGGATACTGCCCATGATAATGATGGATCCGTTGAGTGCATCTCCGATGAGCCATCCTGGGCTGGCGCCTAATTTTAGTAGTATTTAAGCAACAACACATTAAATTGGACATAAAAACAAGAGGAAACCCTAAGAACAGACAACCTTGTACCCATTAACCACAACTGGAGTACTCTAGGTAGTTATTCCATCAAAATCAATCAATTTTCCCAAAAATGAAAAAAAAAAAAACATTTTACCATGTTTGTTTTTTATGTTAAATTCACCCCCTCCTCACTCCCCGCACCCACAAACTTATATGTAATTCCAAACAAAAAATATTTCATCTTATTCCATTACTCTATAAAATTGGTTTTCATATTTTGTTTCATTTTGGCTTAAATATATAATAGAAATACATTAAATATAATTGTAGTGGCTTGTGCGAACACAAGTGCAGATCATTAATTTTATTCAATATATAAAAATAAAGAAATAGATGGAAAAATATATATGTTGTTAAAAATTTAACGTTTTGTTAAGGTCCGCCAATTATTTTGATAACATCGCGCTTTGCATTAACAGTCGCCGCATATATCGAGTATTAGTTAACATAAATAGTCGATAGCCGTTAATAACAACTGCTATAAGAATCTATCGCATTTGAGAAATCGATACAGATTGTCTATCGACTACAAATTTGTAGTCAGTGTAAATCGTTTGTAAGAACAGCGTGTTTGTAATACATACATATGTAAATTTTTCAAATAAGCTAAGGTGAATAATATTTAATACCTACGCGAAGCACACACATATATCTAATGTAATAATATTTGTTACTTATGCACAGTGTGTTCAATTCGTGCGCGTGCTAAATGAAAAAAAAATCTGGCTGCCTCTGCGTGCGGCTTCCCATATTTGGTTTTGCGTTAATTTGCAAACAAGCCAAAGAAAAGAAAATGCACGAAAAGGCTAGCATAAGATAATCAAAGAGTTTTTAAAATGCATGCACATATTTCCGGTTAATGTTTGTTTTGTTTTAATGCACGAGCAGCAGAAAAAATGCCGCAGAATTGATAAAAAATGCCGCTAACAAAAACAAAACAAATACACAGTCAAACGGCGGCTGCAGCATTTTGTGTATGAGTGTGTTAATGTGTGTGTGTGTGTGTTTTGCACCTAATCAAATTTTATACGGGCTCCAAATCGTTTGATATGTTTGTTTTATGTAAACATGCTTTAATGAATCTATTAAAATGGCCAAAGCATAACAAATGTAATTAATTTACAAATAGGCGCGTGTGCAAGTGCGTGTGTGTGTGTGTGCTTATTTGATTTACGTTTTTTGCGAGTTACGCATCTATTAAATAACTTCGACGGTTGATGCTTGACATAAGTTTTTCATTTGAATTACATGTGCCAATTTTTATTGATAAATTTGGGTAAATTTAATGTCGCAAATTTTCTAAATTGTGGCAACCCTGCAGGCATTGTGCACTTGTACTCGAGCAGCTGTTCCATTGCTCTTGTTGTTGCTACCTCGTTTCTGTTTATCGGGATGCGTGCGGCAGCGCGCGCTTAAACTATTTGAATCATTTGACGAAAAATATATAGTGCGTGCCTGCAGTCTTGCTTTTCGTTTTCTTTAGCTGTAGGCCGCTCATATAGATAAAAATGAAACCAGCAATCAATGTTTTTTTTTGTTTAATATATTAACAGTATTGCAGCTGCAGCCTCTGTTAAGCTGCTAAGATTCTTGTTACTATAATTTGTTTTTGCCATTTTCAGCATTGGCCAAATTTGGTCACACTTTTTTGCGGCACATGCTCTCTCTATCGCGTTCTCTCTTTATGTCTGTCGCTCTGAGCGCAATCTCCTGCTGGTTTTGTGTGTTTTCGACGCTGGCGCTGTGTCTTTGCATTCGCATTCGCTTTATTATCGTTCTCGCGACGACGACGTCGAAGAATTCTTAGCCGTATTCTTCTTCATCCTGTGTATATAATTGTAATTTAAATAATTTAAATTAAACACAAAAACCACGCAAAACTAATAAGATAAGCAAGCTGAGGGCATTTCGCGCGCGTTTACCAAGTCATTAAGTGCATGTGTAAGTGCCGAAAATAAAGAAAACTATACTATATAGATATATTCAATTCTATACATATTCAATTTTCGTTTTGAGACAGTTTTGCTCGCCTGCCTCTTTTTTTACATTGTCATCGTCGTTTCCTTTTTGCTGCGACTGCGGCGGCTGCAAAAATTTGTTATATATACAAACACATGTGTATATATACATGTGTGTGTGTGTTGTCTTACATATGTAAATCCAGACGAGCATCGGCTGCACAACACGCATATTTAGACGCACACGGCCGAGTTATATATATATATGTGCACATACATATATATATAAACATGTATAAATAGTCGCAAAAACACAAAAAAAAGAAATAATTGAAAGTTTTTGAGCAAACACGCTAGTCGCGTGCGTCGCTGCTTTAAATAAAAGGTAAAAATCAATTAAATGCTTACTTTTATGCGTGTGTTTCCCTTTGGTCTTGCGCTATATTTTTTTAAACTGCCTGTAAAAAAAAATTATTTTTCCGATTGGCTCGCAAAATGCCCAGAACGTTCTTGTTTGTGTGCGTGCATGCGGCGGTGTGTGTGAGTGAGTTTGTCGTCTTCGTCTGTCCGTTCGTCCATTATCCGCCCGTGCCTTGTTTCATTTTCTTCCTTGTCAGCGGCAGCCATTTGCTTCTTCTTTACTTTTGCACGGCAGTGTTTAAAATATTTTATTTCGCTTACGCTCTTGTACTGCACGTTTGCTCTCTTTTTCTCTCGCCGTGTCCCCTGCATTTGTATACAAAATTTTTCCAATAAGAGCGCCGCTGTCGCTGCCGACGCATAAATAAACAAATTGACTACGAAATTTTGTTAATTACGTATTTTATTTAATTAAACTACTTTGTTTTTTATTTTTTGTACATTCTTACGTATTTGATAAATATTCACGGCTGCGCTTGCCACACCCCCCTTTTAGTTGCTTTGCGCATCGCTCGCTTCGGGCTCCTTTTTATGCTGTTTGTTCTCGTGCTTTTGTTTTTCACATGTCTCTTTTTGGCGTTTATCTTTATGTTTGTTTTTGTATCGACTGCGCTCGTGTGTGTGTGCGTGTGAGTGAGGCCCCCGCTGGGCGCTGCGGTTTCGCACGCTGCACTTGTCTTTTGCCGTTTCTCGGGTGCTCTCTTTGGCTGTTGATGGGAGGGAGATAGGGTGTGGGCAAACTGTCGCTGGATTTGCCTGCTCGCGCGCATATAAACAACAGAGAAATAGACGACGGACGATTGCTTACATATTTTGTAACTTAACCTCAAAACGTTGCGGCCGCTGTTGCCGGCCGCCGTTCACATCGTCTTCGTTCTGTTGTTGTTGTTCTTCTTCTTCTTGCTGTGTGTATATGTTAATTTATATGTTTTTCCTTTAGCCTGCCCCTTCGGCTGCTGTCGTTTTCTTTTTCGTACTTTTCGCGGCGCATGATTCAGCGTCGTCGCCGTCGCGTTGTTCTTTGCAATTGCTGCCGATATTCGGCTTTAGGTTCAACTACTGCTCCTGCTTCTTCTTCATCTTGCACGTTTTCTGCTTTGTTATTGTTTTCGTAACGCGGCAGAGGCTCATTTATAATTTTGAAGCTTTTGTTAAACATATTCTTGAGCTGGTTATCTGTCTGCCCCTTCCCTTACGTTATCTTGGTTTCTTTACCATGACCAGCTCAAAGTAGGCACAGTGGTTCCTATCTGATTGATATCGATAATATGTATAATTATCGATGTTTAATCCTATTTTTAACGTGCTTAATTATAAAATATGTAATAATACTCTTCTTTGTTCTTTCTCTTTGCAGTTTGTGTATATTTTCATCATTAAAACGCCGTGTATATTAATATCATCCTAATTATAATTCAAAACAACATCCCCAACAACAACAACTACAAACATAACATCAACAACAAAAAATTTCAATCGATCTGTAAAAAATAAAATATATGAAATTTGTAATTGTTTAACCAGTTCTCATACGTATTTATTGAATGCATTGCAAAGAAAAAAGTTCATTTGTTTGGTACCAATGTGTAAAGTATTATTGATAATTTGTGTTAAATAGTGTACATTTTTGTAAAAAAAAACCAAACCAAACGTGCAAGTTTTTTTTCGAGTGTAAACAAAAACAAACGATAAATGTAATTAAATATCTCAAATCACTGTAAATTAATATTTAATATTAAGAAAGAGCAAAGTGTGGTTTCTATGCATGTATAAAACACAAACAACAACAACGACGACAAAACAAACAAACAAACACGAGTGATTGAATTTACGGTACCCCCTTAATGTGTCATTTGCATAGCTCTCGCCCCACTGTGCACGCGACGTGTTTGCAATTTTTTTAAATTGTAGCCGCAACGAAACGTCGTCCAGTTGCTTTTAAACTGTTGTTCTCGTTCCGTCAAATTTTTTGTACCTTTTTTTTTTTTAATTTTATTTGGTTTTTGTTTGTTTTTGCAATACGCGCCAAGTCGTCAGCTGAGCGTGCAGCAAACAGCCGCCAAAATTGAGCTGTTAAGCGCGCCCACAATCTCGATATCGACGGTAGTGCCCACCGCGTCGCCATCGCCGCAGCATCATCTGCAGCCGCAGCAGCAGCAGCAAGGGCCGTATCATCAACAGCAGCAGCAGCAGCATTACGGGCAGCCCCAACTGCCGCCGCTGCCCTCACCATACTTTCAGCATCTGCAACAACAACAACAGCAGCAGCAACAACAACAACAGTTACAACACATGAAGTTTCTGGGCGGCAATGATGATCGCAACGGACGCGGCGGCGTCGGCGTTGGTAGCGACGCAATCGTCGTAGGCGGGACACGCGGTTCCAATTCGCAGGACGTGGACGCAGCGAGCGCTGCGGCAGCCGCTGCTGCCGTTGGCTTCGTTTTTCAGCAGCGCCCCTCGCCCGGTGGCGGCGCTGGCGTCGGCGTCGGTCCCGTTGGCTCCACCTTGCAAGACGCCGCAGCCGCCGAATATGCGGCGCACTTTGCCCAAAAGCAGCAGCAAACGCGTTGGGCATGCGGCGACGAGCACGGCATCGATGTGAGTATATAAACAGAAAGAAGTATATATGTAAATATGTATGTATGTGTATACATAGTTAGACATGTACGAATATGTCGGATTTGGCTCTGCGCCAGCTTGCACTCTAAACTAAAAGCAAAACCAAAGGACAGTTGCATGGAGTAGGGTTAGGGGGAAGGGGTAGGTTTTGCTCTCTGGCATTATTTGTTGTTATGGCTTCTTGTTTTGGTCACTAAAATGTCTTAATTATATATCCAATACATATGTATGCATACACATTTAAGCTGTCGCCGGAGCAGCCGAGCGCCAGTAATGCATAGGCTTGTCAGAAAGTTATCGATTAATTTGCGCAAACAGAGAGCCTCAGCCGTAATTCCCTGAAGTAACGCACACTTTCTCAAAGCTAGAAAATGTTTCCTTAGTAAAAACCAAAAAGTAAAACTTCAGGTTACGCATCCTTTTCTTTAAACAGTAAAAAAGTTGTAGATAAAAACATGAAAATATTTATAAATTAGGTTTTTTGTTTATCGCAATTAAATTATTTAGTAGCCTGATTCCACTATGCTCACATTCTGCGATTCCATAAACGTCAGCTGTAGGTAACATATGAATGGCAAAAGTGCCGCTTCGTTAAATAAACAGCTGATCGGTTTTATTTGATTTATTTAAGCGCCGTAAAGTTTTCCGTCCAAAGGTCGAATAATACGGCCTCAAAGTAGGGGCTGCATATAATGGACTCTGCTTGAAATGTTGAAATGCCTTCGCTGCTATATCAGCTGTTTATGCTAAATTTGGTTTCTTATGGGAAAACGTACAGGCAACATATTTCACATTCGCAAATAATGTAAGAAATGTTGACAATGGAATTATGCTATTAGGATATAGAATTTTCAGAAAGTCCAATAAATAAGTTAACAGAAATTCTTACATGTAAAATATATTATAAAGAGATAATATTGTCTCTGGGTAAAAATGAGCTTAAGTTTTTAGACTTCAAAATCTAAATGAAAACGAAATGAATTTCATGTTCCCATTAACGAGATTTAAGGCCCTATAAACCAATTTTGATTTGTTTAATTTTGTTTAAAACGCTTGCAACAATTTTGATTTCATTTGAAACATACTAGCACAAATACTTTTTACGGGCAGCCTTTCACACATTTTCTGCATTTTCAATTCATAATTCCAGATTTCTTTTTCTTTTGTTTTTTTAGCCCATTCTTAGTCATATTCCTTTCTGCAGCAGCTTCCGCTGCCTAGAGCCTTGGTTTTTTAGATTTTGTTTGCTTTCCTTGCAGTCTCTTTGCTGAATATACCCTGTACTTAAGGGTGTGAAGTGGGTGTATAAGTTGATGCGTAACATTAAAGTGCCTTATGTACAGAATTATAGTTGATATTTGCTTTGGGGATAGAATTTTCGCAGATTGACAGCCGAAACTCGAGTAAATTATAGAGAAAAAGTTCGTCACGCTAACTTTAAAAAATAATCATTATTTTAAAAAACAAATATATTATTAGAAAAATCGTGCAGTTTTGTGAGCTTTTTGGCGTCTTTTAGATGCAAACGGAAATAATTTGTATTTTCAGTCCGATAGCCATACTGTCAACAGCTTTCACTTTTTACATAAAAAGGGTATTCACAAAATTAAAACTAGGTAAAATAATTTGAAGTTTTCTTTGGTTGTCTTTATATTGAAGACACACGAATGTCAGGTGCGTGGCCGTAGAATTGGCCATATATTCAAAAAGTTGCTAATTCCGAGATTGAAAGTTGCTAAAAATAGCTAGTAAAGCTTTAGAGAATTCAGATTCCAAAAAAAAAGCTAATTCAGACAAAAACTTCAACTGTTTTCAGCATATAGCCAAATGCAGCAAAGAGCGGAATTAAGCTAAATTTTTGGATTTGTTAGCCTTTATTTTAACCCTATTGAAGATATATTTTCTAAGTTTCTTATAGGGTGTCTACAAGTCGCGAATGCCTCGTTTTGCAAATGCCAAAGTGCGAGCTGTGAATTTGTTGCTCTGTCTAGAGGTTATTTAGTTTTATTAAGGCCAACTTGTGACGTTGGTTGGTCTGGGGAAGGGGGTGGGGTGTTAAATTGCAGCTCACTTCCAGGCGCTGCCAAAAGGTTGCATAAACAGCAACCAACTTGGCAACGTGCAAGCAACATTTTGTTCTATATTTAGTCATTCCAAGGAAAAACGGGTTGCTTATATTTATTTATAAATATCTTTATGCCACTTTCAGAATCCGGATAAATGGAAATACAATCCACCCATGAATCCGGCGAATGCCGCGCCCGGTGGCAACAACGGCGGCCCCGGAGCCATAGGCACCATTGGCATGGGCGCGAGCAGTGGTCTGGGCGGCATGGGCGCCGGCAGCGGCACCAACGGGGGACTGCATCATCCATCGATGGCGGCCGCAGCGGCCAATATGGCTGCCATGCAACAGGCAGCCGCCGTAGCCAAGCACAATCACATGATGTCGCAGGCGGCCGCCGCAGTCGCTGCACAACAGCAACAACAACAGCAGCAGCAGCAGCAACAACAGCAACAACAACAAAATGCGCAGGGACCGCCGCATCATCTTATGGGCGGCGGCAATGGGCTGGGCAATGGCAATGGGCTAGGCGGCCTGGGTCAGCCGCATCCCGGCCAGCAAGTTCAACAACAACAACAACAACAGCAGCAACAACAACAACAACAACAGCAGCAGCAACAACAACAACAACAACAACAACAACAGGGCCAACAACCCAACCAGGCACATCTCGGCCAGCATCAATATAACTCGAATCTGCTCAGCCATGTGATGAACAACCAGGTGGCTGCTGCCGTCGCCGCCGGCGCCACCATGGGCCATATGCCGCCCTACGCCCAGTCGGCTGCCAGCGGCAGCATGTACGATCATCATGGAGGAAACGCACTGCATCCGGGCATGAATGGCGGCATGCCGAAGCCACCGCCACCGCTGGGTCCCGGCGGACCACAGGATTTCGTCTATATGGGCGGGCAGCCGCATGCCGCTGCTGCCGCCGCCGCGGCTGCAGCCATGGGCGCAGCTCTAATGCCGCCGCAGAATCAATATATGAACAACTCGGCCGCAGCAGCCGTCGCCGCCGCCAATCGGAATGCAGCGGTGAGTATACGAATCGGGCGAATATACATATATATTTATAAGAGTTTGCATGATCAGCTTGCTTAGGGCTCACAAGTGGCCATAAGGTCGGGGCTTTAAAGGTTCGCGCTTCAACTGAGTGGATATGTTGGTCACAGTTTGTAAAAAATGATTCCGAAATATTGGTCAAAGTTTGTACGAAAAGAACTCAGCAAGTGTGACATCATAAGCCTGTGTGGCTAAGTTGTTTAAGCGTCGAACCGTGGAGGGTGAGGTCGCTGGTTTAAGATGTCAAAGATAAAGCATAGCAAAGAAGGCTTTGGCTTGGTTGACGCCCTTTAATTTCTTGTTTTTATACACATCCATGTATCTAGGGTTAACCAACAAGCACTTAGATAAGCTTCCAATTGGAGCTAGTTAATTTGATTTGTTTTTCCACTTCTGTTGATATCATCAATTTTGATTGATGATGATTCAAATGTGCTAGGGCAAACATTTGGGTCATTTATGTGTGAAATATTTAACTATTATGAATATGAAACTTAGGCACAGATAATACAAAACGTGCTTCGAATTTAAACCCATACGAACCGAATGCCCAAGTTCAAGTTGTTGCGTTTGGCCTGACAGCTAGACCTAACCTAACTTTAGCTAAACCATATTTAACAAATTGTGGGATTAAAGAACATTCTAAAACAGAATGTTATTTGAGGGAAAAGACTCGCTGCAAAAAGTATTTGCATTTGCGCTTAATCAAATTTTATTTCTTAAAAAACATAAATCGTTTGCAAATATTTCTCCAATTTCTTTAGAATTGTTTAGTTATGTCCAATTCCTGTCGAAATCGGAGCAAATGTATTGTTGTGATAAGGCCCAAATATTCCGTTTTTTTTAGCGTTAAGTATATTTTTCTGTTCGAAATTCATATTAGATAATATTTGTTATCGCACAACGGACTGGCTCTCTATAAATGTCATTGTCTGGTTTTTGTTGACATGGGGGGCAACCGTCAACAAATATAACTCCAGACTGTTTTACCTCTGCCCTCACAATGCAATCTATGTACACAAAACGGTTTTTCCTAACTTACTGAATGACTGATTGACTGACTGATGAATGACTGATTGACTAACTATCTAACTGACTTACTGATTGATTGACTGTCTGATTGACTGACTGATTGACTAACTGACTGCCAGATTGTCAGATAGACTTACCGACTGATTGACTGACTGGATGACTGACTGATTGACTGACTGATTGGTGATCAATATCAGCTGAAATTTTCACTGTAGTGATCACTTATGTGATGAAGGTGCACGTTAAGACGGGGCTTAGGGAAATTCCAACCGCATGTGTAAAAAAACAAATGGCGAAAAACTTTTGTATGAAACTTTTTTCTTTACCATCCGATCGGCCTCAAACTCATTTTCAAAGATCTTTGTTCAAATTCATTTGATGATTGTTTCGCACTTTTTGGAAAATTCTTCCCTTCTTGGTGGAAATCGGGGTCAAAGATTTGGTGGGTGAAGTTTCGCTCTCAACTTCATTTCCAAGGATCTACCATATATGATAACTTATTTGAGGCGTGTTTCACATTTTTCGCGGAATACAAGCTTCCTCGGTGGAAAATACCATTCAAAGGTTTTTAAGGCTAGATTTGAAGTTTTGTTGATTTGCAAAAGCGGGTCAAAGGTTTAATAAACGAAAGTTTATTCTTTAGCTTCTAGATTCTAACTAACATTAGCGGAAAGCGTTGATTCAAACATTTGGTTCTTAATTCGATGCACTTAAAAAATAGAAGTAAAGATCAAGATGGGTACATTTAAATTTTTTACGGGCTTGTCCCAACATTTTTTAGCACAAAACGTTCCACGGGCAAGGCCGGGCAATACCCGCAAGTCTATATATATTATGTGAAGCTGACGACTAAACGCAGCCAACGGCCAAAGATCCTAAAATCCTAAGCTTCAAGCCTTGAACAAAATATCATATTGACAATTCAATATTTGGACTTCAAAGTTTGTTCACCGCTTCTTTTTTTGTAGCCAAGTTTTTCACCAACTTTTCTTTTTGTCTGTGGAAAAAAAGATTTCCACAGTTTACTTTTATGTTAGTTGCACTTTTAGTTTTGGCCATTTCGGGCTCGTATCGTAAAATTTGTTCATGAGTGTTTGGTTAATCAATAATTTCGTTGGCTTTTATGGCTAGTTGGCTTGTATGGCTAGAAAAGCCCACCCCAAAAATGTTGTAGCTGTAAATTGCAAAGTTTTTTCTTTCTTCTACTTGTTTTTCATTTCTGAATTTGTATTTGTTTCTTCGTTTGCGGCCCTTTCAAGTTTTGCCTCATAGACATATCATAAAATTGATAATTGTTATTGCTGGTTTTTCTATTTTCCTTACATTTTCCATTTTTTCGCCCATGTGTGAAATACATTTTTCGTTGTGTGCGTGCCGAATGAAATGTTTTGCACGTCTTTGGGCTAGACGCAGGTTGAGGCAGGAAGAAAATCTTAAGGATTATTGTGGAATACTTGTTAACGGTTTTTTTTGGGGTAGTTGGGAGAGTGTTAGGTTTTTTTTTAGGGGGGAGGTGGGAGAGCATTTCGCATATAAGCTGGGATATTATTAGCTTTAGTTATGGGCTTTAACTTGATAAGCTGTATTAAGAAGCCTTTTATTAAAAGTGGCTAAAATCCGTATTTTGTTATGTTTATTTATTTATTCATCGCCTTGAAAAGTTTGTTTACGATTATTTTATATTCTGAAAATTCCTTAAAATAGACAGACAATGAGCCGGTTCTGCCAATTAATCGCTACCTATTTATAGTTATAAATTATTATTATTATTTTTATACCCTTTCAGAGGGCATATTAGTTTTGTCTCGAAATTGGTAACGCATAGAAGTAGACAGCTCCGACCCCATCAAGTATACATATTCTTGATCAGTATCAACAGCCGGGTCGATATAGCTATGTCCGTCTGTCGGTTTCTATGCGAAGTAGTCTCTCAGTTTTAACCGGCTGGATCGGACAACTATATCATATAGCTGCCAATGATCGGTCGAAAATGGGGTTCTTGTATGAACAACTTTTTGTTATTTAAGATATGTTAATCATACTCGGCATTAACTATTTTCCCTGTGCTTCTTAGATACGAGCAAAGCATTATGAGTATTATGAAAAGGTTCGGTCTGCAAGGAAGATAGCCCTTCTTTATCGATTAGCTTTTTTTTATATCGTGAAAACTCCTAAAAATAGATGAAGAGAATGGGGCGGGTCTGCCATTTTATCGCACATTATTTATATCTATAAATTATTATTATATATATATATTTTTTTTTTAACAATAATCTATTCTTTATTTCACGGCAATTACTTTAATAGTAACTTATGATAATGATAAATAGCCAGTCTGGGTTTTCTTAAACCAAATTTTTAAGAGCCATAGATTTGCTTTGTAGATGCGTTCTTGATCAAGAATTTTAATTTTTGGCATAATATAAATTCTGGCTTCAAGATTTTCTTTCTGCATCCCATTTGCCTTTCTAAATTGTTCTTTTAATAAGCCTCGAAAGTCCATTTATCAATATAGCGATGATTTTTTACCGTATTGGTTATTTTAGCTTTTCGATCTTCGCTCTTCGCTCTTCTCGCCTCTTCTGCACATTCGCTTCTGCTTCTTGCTAGCCAGCTGGCTGTTGTTTTTAATCTTGAGACACGTTTTGAAGCTTTGTCTCTTTGCTTTGGTGATGGCTTCTTGATTGCCTCGCACTTCTTTCGTAGCCCCCTCCGTCTAATCTCTGTTCCTCTGTCCGTCTGTTTATAGTTCTCTGTTCTGTTCCGCTAACAAATGCATTCCGGTTGCAATTTTCTGCCTTATAAGCGTTGCACACACACATACACACAAACGCACACGCACTCATGTGAGGCGGTTCTGTGGAGGCATTCATTTGCAGTACTCAGAAACCACTCGCATTTATAAATAAAAGAATTTAATACTCGACATGGACTTAATGAGCTCTTAGCTGGCTCCACTTGCAGTTTTTTTTTCTACCTGTACTTCTAACTCTCCCTCCTCCTTTTCCGCTGCTTCGTTGCGTTGTTGTTTTTGCTGTGTATCAAATGTTTATAGAAAAAGCAATTTTAATTAAAGAATTTCGCTCGCTGAGGTTATTTCTGCTTTACATTCGTAGCCGTTGCCTATTATGCGACCAGGCTCCAGCTTAAAGGAGCCGCAAGAAGAAGAAGGAGCGACTGGTGGTTGAGGTACTTTAAATATATGTACGCACATTCTTCATGCACAATGAAAACTCTAATATTTTAGTTTTTAGTTGGAGCATTTGTGAATCAGTTCTGGTAAGGGTATACACTCGTCGCATAGCGCTGCTTTGCCAAATTTGTGCTTCAATGCATTTATTGATATATATTGTCTGCTCGTAAGCGTATTCAGTCGTAACATTGCGTTTTTCTCTTTTAATTCCTGTCCCTTTTACTCGTTATTGTTGCCTGCGCGCTACCTTTTCTTTTCTCGCAACAACTTCCTTTTGCGCTTAATTCGCAATCTGTTTGGCTGCAGCAGCGCGCAATACGAAATACTGAACAAATTTATTGCAATTATGCCAGGACAGCAGCCGCAGCAGCAGCCGCAGGAGCACAGCGAACATAAAACACATACTTAAATTTGTAGACGTGTGTGTGAGCTTTTGTTTTGTTGCTATCGTTGTTACTCCACTTTTTAGCACGTTCGCCTTATATATATGCGTGTGTGTGTGTCTGTGTGACACAGCCAGGGCCCCAGTCAGCATCAGCAGCCAACATTTGCCATCTTTTCAACACTATGCTACGCTCTCGCTCTCACTCCCTCTCTTTGTCGCTGCCGCTGCCGCTGCGTTTACTCTCATTGTTGTCGATGTCGTAGGTCATTGATTTGCGCTTAACTGCGCGGCACTGCCGGCAGAAGCTTCATCCGTGGGCGCTGCTTCTCCCCAACTCCCGTGCGCAGCCCTTTGTTTCTGTTTCTTCTTTTTTCGTACAGGTTTTTGTTGTTGCTATTGTTGTTGTATCGTTGCATGTTGCGCATTCGCCGTTCTGTTTTTCTGGTTCTCTTCTGCATGTGTTCTTATTACTTTTTCTTGCATGCTGTCTGCCGCCTCGCTGCTTCTGTTGTTGCTGTAATTGTCGTTTTCTTTTTGCTCGCTATGCTTCGTACTTGTTTTTTGTTGTTTGTGTTGTTGGTTTTTTTTGCGTGTGCTGTAATGATTTAAATGTGTGTCTGTGTGGTGTCTGATTTTGAGCGCAGCTTTTTTTTTGTTGTCATTGTCTTTCTCGCTGCTTTTGTTGTTGGCGCTTGCCTGCTGCGCTGTGGCTGGCTGCTAATGGACGTCGGCAGCGTTCACTGATTTGGGGCGTCTTTAGAAGCTTTTCAATTCACCACGAAAACTTTGTAATTGTGTGCGTTTGAGAGATGTGTGCGTATATAATTTTTAACCCTCTCATTGTAATGGTAATGTTAACCCAGATTTTTATGGAGAGCTCTTGAATGGACTACAGTGGGGGCTTGTAATTTTTGTAATCTATGACTTCAATTGGAGTTAAACCAGTTGCCTAATTACAGTTGCACTGCCATAAACTTGTGTTGCGTTTGTTCAATAGGAACTCACCACCCCACCCTGCCCCCTCAAATTGCCAAGTTGTTTCGGTTTATAATTATCATTATTACACTTGTTAACTTTATCACTTCTGGACTTGAGTAAAACAATTAGCTGCTGTTGCGCTTGTTCTGCTTCTGGTGCTTCTGGTGCTGCTGCTGCTGCTAATTCTTCTTCTTGCTCTCTAATTTCACACACTCTGCACGCAGTGAAGTCTTTGCTATGTTGGCCGTACCTCACCTTTTGCTTCACCCCTTTTCTGTGTGCTTGTGCTTCGCTTCTAATTGAACAAACGCCGCAGTCGCAGTTGCCGCTGGCGGCAGCGCGCTTTTTGCCGTTTCTTTTGGCCTGCCGCGCGGTTGCCAATTAGCGAAAATGTTTGCCTGTTGCCTGCAATTTTCCAGCAACAGCACGGGACAAGACAATAATAGCTAGGAAAGTTTTAGTCGCGTTAGTTAGTGATGGACTAGAAGATACCTTGCACTCGGTAACAGGCCAAGGCGCCCTACTACAGATAAGGGCTACCCTGTTCTGAATTTGAAAGAAATTTTTAGTTGAGAATCTGCTTAACTAATAGTTACCCTGTACTCCATAAAAAAAACTTGTGTGATAAGAAAACTCTAGTCAAAAGAGTGCTGGACAAGTAGATACTCTGTACTCGGTCAGAAAGCTCTAATCGAAGATACCCTGTAATCAGCAAGCAAAGTAATTGGAAATATAACCTATAAAAGGAATGCCAGTCCTGAGAGTCTGAGCTTGAATATCTTTAAAGGGTTTACCTCCTGGTATTAATAGCTTTAGCATAGAGAGTCTTCGGGATACCTAAATAATTATATCTTTTGTTGTTTTCAATTGCTCTGTAGGGGGCATACATAAGAGATTTGACATTAGTATTCGAATTTTTAAATTTGTCAGATGTATAGTTTGTGTTTTATTCCAATATAATATCACTTATTTCAATTCGATGTTAGAGGGTTACATTACCTATTAAGGATTATCAGAGTTACTATGGACGAAGATGATAAAACCAGTACTTTCTTAAGTGTCTTGAGCACCTTCTCAAGTAATCTTTTCGATCAATTGTTTATCTTTAATCCTGGTAAGAATCTCATATGCTCACCTCTCGCCATACACACCTGCTTGGGAATGTTGCGCTTGGGCGCTAAGGAAGGGTCTACGACTGCTCAGGAGTTAGACAGTAGAGTTGGATTTACCTCTAGTCATGAAGCGGAGATAGCCGAGGATTTTCATAATACTTTGAACTCTTATCAGGAGGCCAGCGTGCTGCACATGGCCTACAAAATGTACCTAATGCACAACTATGAGATACGTGGGGAATTTCACAATATACTGACTGAGAAATTCCATTCGGAGCCCGGTATTATTAATTTCTCTGAGAACATAGATGCTGCAAACACCATAAACGAGTGGGTTGACACAAAGATGAATCATCTAATAAAGGATGAAGTCAGTCCGGAAATCTTTGACGACAGCACCCGCATGGTTCTCATCAGTGCGGCTCACTTCAAGGCCGAGTGGAATATACGATTCGAGCCGAAGGCAACACGCAGAGAATTTTTCCACACGGATAACCAGAACAAATACAAAGTACACATGATGAATGTTTTTCATGAATACTACTACGCGGAATTGAATGACCTCGATGCGAAAGTCCTGCGTTTGACCTTTAGAAATACAGAACTACAAATGCTGATCATTTTGCCCAACCAGAAAATGGGTCTGAAGAATTTATTGGGAATGTTAACCAGAAAACCTTTGCAGAATATTATTGCAGTGCTCACCCTAAGGCGAGTCAATTTAAAATTGCCAAAATTTTCGACGGAATTCGAACAGGAATTGACGCCCATTTTCATAGAGTTAGGAGTCAAAAGGGTTTTTATCGACAAAGCCGAACTTGGCCAAATGTTGGAAACGGATCAAGTGCTAAAAGTCTCTAAAATTCTCCACAAAGCATGCATCGAGTTCAACGAAGAGGGAAACGAGGTCGAGCCCTTGGGCGAACCGATTGTACAGATGGTCAGGGGCAAACCACGATATCCGCCCCCGCCCGTCAACTTTTTTGCGGATCATCCCTTCTATTATGCCATCTATGACGAAAACCATGGTCCACTTCTCGTAGGCGGCCTCCAAGCACCAGCGCCTGCCGGTTGTATTGATAATCCAAAGAAGCCCTGCTCTTGCGAGAGATGAGCTTAGAAATCCTATAGGGAGAACTATACCGAACTATAACTATACTATATCATATCAGTTGATTCTTATAGGTGTGTAACCCTATTAATAAAGCTCAAAATTTGTTGAAATTTAGTGTGAAATAAACGCAAGTTTTACAATAACAACTTGGGAAGCAGTGTAAATATTATAAAATTACACAATTAGAAGTTTTGCATGAGACATCAGCCATGATAACAGGGTATACAAAAAGTTCACCCCGCTGAATGTACTGATTATTTGTTGTTGCTTTTAACGAGCGTGCGAAAAAGTGTTTCGACTTCGCGGTCGCAGTCGCTGCCTTCGATTGATTGATTTGCATGGCCGGTTGGCTTAGTTACTCTCTTCGCTCTCATACACACTCACTTGCTCTCTGCTCATATGCTTCTATCATCTATGTCGCAAAGTTAAAGCACAGTTTGTATTTGCCTCTCACTCTAACTATCCCCAATTATCTGCAATAATTAAATAAACATTTTAAATGCAGCATCCAATTGCCTGACAAATTAATTTGTTATTAGTTTTGCCGCCCGCTGACTGTGAGTCAAATGATTTTAATTACCACTTTACCCTTACAAAAGTGTTGATTATTAGTTAAGTTATACAGTTTGCACACATATCAGTGTATAAGTGCGTAAAAGTTCTGCAGATGAAGCTCACAAGCTATGATAAAAAGCTTAGAGTGTTTCACAGCTGGCCTCACTTTCATCTTTTATTTATTCTTTTTTCTGTAAATAGCAAACAGCTGCTTAAGACATACGACGCGCTGTGAAATCATGATCGCAGCACACAAGCAAATGAGAACAATCGGTGTGAGAGGGGCGCTCAACCCACACAGCGAAAGCGTCAGTTGAGCTGCGCTCAATAGTTGGTTCTCTTTTCACTCACATTACGTAAAACTATGCCAAATGAGGCTTAACGCACACACACACAAACACAAACACATGCACGCACGACAAATGTCACATACAAAGGCAGGCAAACAGAATATAAAAAGTGCGGCACACGTGTGTTGTGTGAAGAGGGGATCTGCTGCAGCCGGCTTAAAGCTTTGGGGGTCTCCTATCGTTAGCGTCAACGTCGACGTTGACGTTGCTGCCTGGGCAGCATAAATTTCCGTGATAATGTATGTAAATATACATGTATGTGTGTTATGTATTATCGCTAAAAGCTGCGAGCAACAGCTGCTATACCGCTGCTCTCTCTCGCGCTCGCACTCTTTTTGTCTTATGCTCTTTTGCTGTTCGCAATTTGCTATGTTTCGCTTTTGCCACCAGAGCAGCAGGCGGCCGCGTAGAATTTTCAGTTTGGCCGCAACAGTTGACTCGTCTGCATGCTGTATAATTTTCGCCAGGCCCCCCATCCGTCCGTGTTTGTGTGTGGAGTTCTCGTCTGCGATCGTTAAGCACGTTTTTTATTGTGTGGGTGTGTGTGTGCGTGTGCGCCGGTTGCGGGGCTAAAAGAGAGTGCAAACAAACAATCGAGCGCGTGAAAAAATACCTCAAGCTTTTTTTGCGTTAAATAAAATTATTAATGCTGTAAATGCTTGCAACGTTTTGTTATACATATATGTATATGTGTATATGATATCGTGTGTTCGTGTTGGTTATGTGAAAAACGCAGCTGATGCTCTTCAATTATTGAAGCTGTTGAAAAGTCAATATCAATATCGAAATTCATGTATAAATCATAAATAATAAGGCTGTATAAATTTAGCACCAACAACTACAACAACAAAAAAAGAAGCCTGTGTAACGTGTTTTGGGTGTGTGTGAGTGTTCCATTACCTTGACGTGTTCTCTACGACTCTCCATCTCTCGCTCTCGCTGTCTACTTCCTTCACGCACTGGAATAAGAAACTCTCGCTCTCTGGATCGTTCGTTGTGTTTCGTTAATTCCAGCCTGCCTTCTCATGATGAAACTACTGCACGACTTCATGTTGGATGCGCGCACTGCCGAGGATGTTGCACTCACACAGGAAATGGTAAAGCGACCAAATACATAACAACCTTTATGCCCACTGCAGCGCCTCCCGCTCTCTTCTACTTTTATTTTATTGCGCTTGTCTCCTTTGATTGATTAGAAGTTCAAGTATATGCGCATTTGTTGTTGTTGTTGTATTGACTTTTGAGTATTTGAGTTGAGTTGAGTTGATTTTGATGAATTAACGCGTAGGCAGCATGGGCAGCATTCCAGTTGGAAGCACTTGTTAGATGTTTATCGATGTCTCTGTCTAATTATTCGCTATCCGTTAATTGCTTTTATATGTGCTCGAGTTTCAATCGGTGAGCTGCACCTGTTCAAAAATTTGTTTATCTTTTTTAGCGGACAATTCTAAACACATTTGCGTGCTAACAGCTGCATTAAATTGTCTACTTTGAGTCATTTATCAAAGATTATTACACCTGAAAATGACTCTCTCAGCCCTCGCTACTAAGATGGCACTCGTTGCTTTAGATTATATCTATATTATAATCAATTTTGTTTTTACTCGTGACTTAAAGCAACAAGTTCGTCTTATCTATAGTTTGAGTGTTTTACTCTCTTTTTTCTCTTTACACTCTCTCATTAATATCGTTACTTCCCAGCTTGCAGTCGTTGCTTTAAAGAGTTACTCGTAAAGCTTAAAGTTTGAACTATTCGTTAGCTTTTCAAATTAGTTTGCCTCTCGTTACTTTTCTTATGACACTCGTTGCTCACTCTTTACTTTAGCTACTCGTTGACGAAATAGATCGTTTTTGTATAAGAGTATTAGGGGTGTGGAGACTATTGAGGTTTTTTTTTTTTGTGATCTTCAAACATAGAACTAATTCTTTATCATTACAATTTAACTATTTACATTTAATAAACAGATCAAATTTCTCGTTAAGTAGTTTTCGTTGATTAAATCAACTCGCTTGAGCTTATAAATTGATTAGTTTAAAAACAAATACAACTTCATTAACTAATTTGTGTATATATTTTTAAAAAAGCGCGTTAATTTTACTGCCAGATAAAACTCGAGCTCTTTGAATGCCATAAAAAATTTTAGTAAATAGTCAGAATTTTGTATCCATTTTGTTTGCTTTATTTTTTCGCTATTAGATAATAGCACAGAGCTCACTTGCAACCAAATGCGACCCCAACCCCAACCAGAGCAACCACGGACCGACTGGCAGCAGCCGTGGGTTTCAATTCCTTCAGTCGGTCTGGCCTGAGTTCATAGATAAAAACATTTTGCGGTTCTTGCTATGGCCGAGCAATTGTTTTTATATGCATTTCACGTAGTTTAACCCTAACTCAAAAAAAAAATCCGATGGGGGGCAACGCAGAATTCACTGAACTTAGGGGAAAGAGAGAGAGAGGGAGAACGAGAGAGAAAGAGGGGTTGTGTATTGTACAACATTTTATGCTGTTTGCCCCTTTTGCTAGGTACCGGTTTTTTTTAGAAGGAATTTACATGAAAATATATATTTTCCGGTTTCAATTATGTGCAATGTGTGTGTATCGAGATCTCCCTTGTTTTTTGTCTAGTCTATTTCACGGTTGATTACGTCGTTGTCAACGTTTTACCCGCTGCCTGATTAGCCGAATGCCTCGCAAATGGGCGTGGCCCGCAGTAATGATGATGACAATAACTATAAACGCTAAAAACAATTCAATCGTTTCAATTTTATGGCAATCCAATATGTGTGCTTGCAAATAATTGACTAATCGCTCAATTTGTTACTGCTCATATGGAGATTGTTTTAATATAAAAAGGTTTTGTATTTTCTTATTCACATTCGTCTTTCGTATCTACTTTATGCTCTTTAATCACTAAAGGTATAAGTCGCTTTTCTGTTTGATAATCTCATTAATATCTTGTATTTTTTATCAGAGAGTTATGAAGTCTTTTATTCAGTTGCACCAGTTCCATAGCTCGGTACCAACTACTCGTTACCAGCAGGCCGAGTGTAAATGCTTGTAACAAGCTACTCGTAAGTAAACACATGTCGCCCGATTTTCGTCAGCAACTACTCGTTAGCAACTTTTCGTTAGCAACTTTTCCTTAGCAACTTTTCCTTAGCAACTTTTCCTTAGCAACTACTCGTTAGCAACCACTCGTAAGGAATATCTCGTTAGGAATTACTTATAGCAACTATTCATTCACAACTACTCGTTAGCAACTACTCGTTAGCAACAGCTTGTTAGCAACCACTCGTTAGCAACTACTCGTTAGGCATATCTCGTTAGGAATTACTTATAGCAACTATTCATTCACAACTACTCGTTAGCAACTACTTGTTAGCAACTTCTCGATAGCGACTTCTCGTTACTAACGGATCGTTGGTGACCTGTGACCAAATACTCGAAACTTTTAAAATGCTCTTCCCTACTTATCGTTACTCGTTGCTCGCATTCGAAACTCGCAGGTCAATTATTCAATAAACTCTTTAGACATCGGCAACGAGAGTAACTTAAAGTTTTAGACAGAGGACGAAAAAGGGCGGCGATATAAAGGGACCCGAAACCGAGAAGGCGGACGACAGCTGGAGACGATTTCAGTGCTAAAAGACGACGACGGAACAGATAACTTGTGGGCGGTGCAAAGGAGGCGTGCTACAAATTCAATAAGCACCACAACAAAATTGAAAATGTTGCGACTGGTTGGGCTGCCAGCAAGGTAAAGAGGGTGCGGCTTATGTTGAGCGCATTCCCTTTCTCTCTCTCTCTCTCTGTCTCTCTCTCTCTCTCTCTCCACTTGTGAAGTATTGTCACGTGTCTCAGTTAAGCATTATAACTTTGGTGGCAATGCAGTTGAGGGAATTAGCTTTTGGAATTTGGCTACCAACTTTTGCCACCAAAACTTATCAAGTGTTTCGCAATTGCATTTTGAGGAATATTGAAAATAAATGCCAATTAGAATTGAGCCAGTTCACAAGAACTGGTTTGTTTATGTGAGCACAAAAGAAAAGTGTGTTGTTATATTTTATATATGCATACGGGATGAAAGTGTAGCTTAAATGCACACTCAAACTGAACCACTGGATCACCTGCTGGAATCAGTTCACTTTAAAATTGACCCATTTAACCTTTAAGCAGCTTAAAATCATAGTAAAACTTTAAATGGATAACAAAAAGTTGTATAATAAATCCCAAAGCGAAC